GCCCCTTTACCCGCCCGCGGGGAGCGCTCGGTCCTCGGGGAGTGGCCCCCACGTGGGGGCTCACGCACCCCGCCGCGCGCTGCGGGTGAGGCCGCGGACCCCGGGGGGCCGTCCCCTTCCCTGCAGTCACCGTGCGCCCCGGGACTCGCACTGTGCGACCCGGCAACCACCACCTGTTCTGGAGGCGCCTTCAGGGCGATCCCGTGCGGAGAGCAGCCGGCCCCGCTCGCTGAGCTCCGGCAAACCTCCGGCCGGCGACGCCCCTTCGCCGCCCCTCACCCGTAGACTCTCCTCTTCTCCCGACGCCCCGCCCTCCTCCTCCGCCTCCGCTCCGCGAGGGTCCTTCCAACGTGGCGCTGGCCACTGCGCATGCTCTATAGGGGCGCGAGGAGGTGGCGAGGCAGAAACCTGCCCGGTGGCGTCACCGCGCAGAGCGCGGGTGGGCGTGGCCCGCCACGTCGGCGCTTGGCGGCGCGCCCCCTGCCCAGCGGCGGTGGCGGTGCGTGCTCCCGCGCCTCCCTCCCTCAGTGCCGCCGTCCCGCCGAAGCCCGAGCGCCATGTCTTCGCCTCCCGAAGGGAAACTGGAGACGAAAGCCGGACACCCGCCCGCCGGTACTGAGTCCTTTCCGCTTTCCTCGGGGGGCGCCGGGCGGGGTCGCGCGGGCCGGGTGGGGTGGGAGGTCAGAGGCAAGCCCCACGGACCGCGCGCCCGGCCCGGGTCCCCTGCGCGACCTGGGCTGCTGACCCACAGATGGAACCGGGCAAGAGCCGTCCTCCCCGGACGCCCGCGGCCCGCGCTCGCCCCGCACCCCCAGCCGGCTCGCTCCGCTTCCTGGAGTCCCTCCTGCGGGGCCGGGCCGGGCGCGGCGCTGCGGGGTCCGCGCCCCGCACCCCGGCGCTGGGAGCCCGGACTTTGGAGAACAGAAACTTTCAGCGGAGCCTCGCTCTGGGGATTTTTCTCCTTCACTTCTGTGGTCTTCCAGCCGTCGCGAGTCTCCACGGCCGTCCCGCACGGGGCGCGCACGCAGGCGCCAGAGTGGGCTGCGCCTCGCTGGAGGCGGAGGACCCCCGCCGCACCGCCGCCCAGCGGAGCTGCAAGTAGAGAGCTGGTGCGGGGCACTCCGATGGCGTGGAGTTAGGGAAAATGTCCCAGTGGTCGGGGAAACCGTTGGGGGCAATTTTGGTTGCCTGCGTGTCAAAGAAACGGGGAGGACAGTGTGCTGAGGGCGGAGCTCAGTGTGAAGAGCCTGCACGGAGCCCTAGGTTCAACCTGGGGAGGGGAGGGGGAGAGAACACGACAAAAACAAAAATACCCTTGCAGGGCGCTGGTGTCTCCAGTTTGTCATCCTAGCTACCGGGGCAGGAGAGTCGGCCATTCTCCTAGCTCCCATTAACCACCAGAAAAACAGACGTGGAGCTAGCTGTGGCTCAAAGTGGTAAAGCTGTAACTCTGAGCCAAAAAAAAAAAAAAAAGTCAGGGACAGCACCCCAGCCCTGAGTTCCAGCCCCACAACCGACCAAAAAACAAAACCAACCCCAAAAATACCCTTCACGGGGTTTCTTTTAAAGATAACTCTGACCCTTAATTCCATGCCCTCAGATCTAGGCTGCAGAGTGAGGACCCTCTAGTTTACTTCTGCTGGAGGCCACTTACTCTCTGGGATTGAGCCTTTCTTACAGCCAATCTGCTGGAATGATATCATATCAGTGTAGCAGCAATGAAAATGCAATTCCTGCACAGCCACATGGAGCTTTTTAAGATTGGAGGGATGGGTTTACTCCCTGGGAGAAATTTCTTGCAGAATTCTGATTTTCTTTGACTTGGAAAGGAAACAGGCTTTTGAATTACAAATTTAACCAGCTTCTTTGTGCCTCCAGCAGTGAACTTTAGGCCCAGATCCTGAGATACACCACGTTCTTTCTCTAGGGTGCAAGTTTCCTCATCTGGAATTTCCAGGCAGGATCAGACACTTCTCTTCTCCCTAGGCTGTCGCTGGTGGGGCTGCCTTTGCTGATGTGACTCTTGCTGTGACTTCCTTCTTTCTGGCCCTTCCAGTTCAGTGTGGGAACACCCCAGTGTAGTACATCCTACAGATAAAACTCCAGGTGGGGCCTTTAGCCTGTGGAGCCCAAGACCTGGCAGGAGTTAGAGAAGTCAGGCTTGGTGCCCTGGTGTAAGTTTAGACTCCAGTTCTCAGCAGCACCCTTGGGTGGTGATCCATGATCTCAAACCTGCTGAGGACCTGTGTGCAAAGATTTCTTTTCCCCAGCAAACCCTGTGTTCTTGTTTAGTCTGGTGTTGCCAGAAGGCAGTTCTGCAGAGTGAAAGAAAAAAAAGAAAAGAAAGAAAATCAGGCAACCCACTTTAATAAAAATAATCAAGAATAACCAGGGGGCTGGGTGTTGGTGGCCCGTGCCTGAAATCCTAGCTACTCTGGAGGCTGAAATCTGAGGATTACAGTTCAAAGGCCAGCCGGAGTAGGAAAGTCCTTGAGACTTAACTCCAATAGACCACTCAGAAAACTGGAAGTGGCAAAGTGGTTCAAGTGGTAGAGCGCTAGCCTTGAGCTGAAGAGCTAAGGGACAGCGCCCAGGCCCAGAGTTCAAACCTCACAACTGACAAAAAAAAAAAAAAGGAATAGGAGGTGGGGGTGGAGCGGAAGAATAGCCAAGAGCACAGTTCATAAATCATGTTACCTGCCTTAAAAATGTTGGACACACTTTAAGTGTTGCAATTGAATAACATGTGTGCTGAAATCCTCAATCAGAAATAATAAAAAAAAAATCACTGAATTTCTCTTGCTGTGCTTTGTGTCTTCTCGTTGTTTTGCTGTCTGAACCAAGTCCCCTCCTGACCATCCCCATAGTACCTTGACCCCACCTCTGATTTCCTTATCACACTTACCTGCACTGTTTTTCCTCTTTTCCTGGCTTCTGGGGATACGACTCAGAGCCTGGCACAAAATACTCAGTAAATATTAGCTCCAAATGAGTCTCCTCCAGGGCCTCTTCCCTCTCCTTCTAGGTGCTTGCAGCTTTCCATCTGAGCTCTCTGCTATGCGCTATGGGCGTGGTACTTCCCTCAGCCAGCTGAGGTAGTAGAGGGGAAGAAATAGCAGCTGTAGAATTTGTTGAGTCTTACAATGTGCCTGCACAATCCAGAGCGCTTGGCACTTTATTCATTTAGCAGCCACTTTGCCATGGGGATGCCCAGGACTATCATTTAAAATACCAGCTGAGCTGTATGGAGTGAGCCATGCACCAGGTCCAGCCAGAAGAGCCTTCGCCTGCTAGGCCCTCAGAAGTCCAACATAGAACTCAGAACTTTCTGGTTGCCACCTTCCAGAAGATGAGATTATCGGTTTGGGTTGCAGGTATTTATAAAGAGTCGCAGGTGTGAGATTATGGAAGTTGATAGAGTTACAGGTACGAGATTATTGAAGGTTTACGAAGAGTTGCAGGTACAAGATCATGGAAGTTTATGAAAAGTTGCAGGTATGAGATTATTGCAGGTTATAAAGAGTTGCACTGGAGGAACATGCCATGTAATTCACAGTATTGTTACTCGGGAGTGATTGGTGGAGCTGTATCACATGTTCCCTGTATATCTTCCTAAATTCTGTCCCAATGATTTCTGACCTTCCATTGCTCCCTGCTGCAAAATATTTGCAGGGAAGTGGGCTGAGGCTGCTTGTTCTATGAGAGAGATATTGCAAAACTAGACTTGCAAAGTCAGAAGGAGGGACTGTTCTCAGAGCATCAGCATGGGCATGGGGAGGAGAAGGGAGAGGGGATCAAACTCAAGCCTGCTGCTGCTCATCTTGTCCAGCCTGAGTTTGGCAGAGATGATGGGTACAGTTGCTGGTAAATACATGTAGCCGACCTGTATCCACCTCTCCCTGTGCACACCCCCTCATTTCCCAGGGGTGCCCAAACCATGGGTAAGTGAAGTCTCATAAATCTGATATACAATAGCTTTGAAGGTTACTAATGTTACATCAGGTGCTCTGAGAAAGTAGACTTACATCCCCCATTGAACCAAGTCAAGTGGAAATATAAACATGCCTTAGTTCAAATAAAATAGGAAACATATCACTTGACTAATTTTTCATGCCCCCCCCAATTCTCTTCTTTGTTAGACTAATCAGTCTGACATCAGGCGGGGGTGCATTAAAAAAGTGTTAGTGATCATTCTCCCTGAATTGACTTCCTGTAGGAAGTTTTCCACATCACGGAGACCATTCTTTTGGTAGTAGCAAATTGAATTTGGCCTCCACTGTGTTATCCTGTTGCAGACTGGCTAAACAAGGTCTTGTGTTCTCACCCTGCTCACGGATCAGCCATTGAGGAATCCAGGGAGCAAGATACCCCTTAGTTAACTGCTTCTTTCTAGAAACTTCCAATAAGGATGGGCTATAGCGCTTCTAAGACAGGTGTAGGCTTCACCTCTGTTACTTAGCAGAAGGGGTCATCCTCCCTTCCAGCATTTCTATGTGGGCTGTTTCCCTTCCCTGCTTGGGCCACCTGCTTGTGTACGTGAAGAAGATCCACTTCTGTAAAACTAGATTCGGCGAGCCACCCAGAGGCCCAGCTCTTTGGCACTGCTATTTCAGTGAGTGGTTGCTGCTGATGGCGAGGGTGTGGTCAGGGCTGGGGTATGACCCATGGGGTCTCAGTGGCCTGCTTCCTTCCCTGTGCTAGCTTCTGTGATGATTGTGTCAAATCACAGTAAACTTAGTGTTCTCCAAATCCACAACTTAAAATTACTGTTCATATGGTAAGAAGTCGATCTCACTATGGTCGATCACACCAAGGTCTGGGTGTTGCAGGAATGGTTTCTTCTGCAGGCTACCCAGGAGAATTGGCTTCCTTGCCCTTCCCCAGTGTCAGAGGTTACCCACATGCCTTGGCTTGTGGGCCCCTCCTCATTGTCAAAGACTGAAATGGCTCCCTTTGCCCTTGTGTGCTATGCAGGCTGGCCTGACGCTTCTCTTTGCTGTGGGGTGATAACCAGAATCGTTTCTGTGTTTTAAGGCCAGTTGACTAGCCACCGAATTCCCTGGGCCGCCTAGCTCCGCCTTGCCGTGGAATATATTCACGAGTTTTGCAGCGTGTGAACCCCACTCCTCAGAGGCCATTCCCTGCAGAAGGCTGTCCAGGATGCTGTTAAATGGCCTCGACCCATCTGCAAGGGACTCTGGAGTTAGTTTGGCAGACACTAAGTCCCCTCCTCCTGACAGGTGTTTCCCGGAGCTCCTAGCCTCTGAATCTCACATTCCCTTGGACCTTTTAGACTCCCTTTCTCTCCGTACACTCAAAACTACCCAAGATGGTTGCTGCCCCAGCGGCTCAGTCATCTGCTCAACAGGGGTCCTCAGCTCGGCTCAATCACCACCCACTTGGTCCTTGGGCTCAAAGCTGTGTCATGAGCGGAACACACAGTATTGTGGCAGACCCAGCCTTCCTGGTTTGGGTCACCTCCTCAGCCCTGGGTGCCTAGGAGCCTGAGGCCTTCACCGGCTGTGATTCTTCCGGAGCCTCCACAGCTTACACCCACCTGGGTGTAGATGCCGGAATGCAGCTGCAGCTCCGTTTGTAGCACCGGCCTTACC